AAAAAACACTGAATTTCCAGGACTTATTAGTTTTATTTGCAAAAAGCGGATTTGTAAGTTTTTGTGATGTTACCGGTTGTTTAACAACTTAAAGTATTTCTTAATAGTAGTAAAAATAAAACAAAGAAACAAGCAAACATCTGAACCTTGATTTATTTAATTTCAGAATGGTGTCAAGAGAGAAATATTGAAACAAAACTCGAGGAAATGGAGGAAAGTGATCTCGACGCGGCCCTACGAAAGTTTTATGCAGAGGCCCGAAGCAAAGATGGAGAAAATTACAGCCGGTCCGCACTTTTGGGTTTCCGTTACGCTATTGAAAGGTTTCTCAACGGACCCCCACTGAATAGAGGTTTCAAGATCTGCAAAAACCCAGTCTTTTTCCTTTCTAACCAGATGCTAGACGCTAAAATCAAGCAGTTAAAGCGTGAAGGAAACGACACTACTACCCACAAACCTGCCCTCGAAAAACAAGATCTGTTGAAGCTAAAATCAAGTCAAGCGATCTTTCCTTCAAGTCCACATGGCTTACTAAGAAATGTTTGGTTCCATACCACCCTGTATTGGTGCAGAAGGGGTCGTGAGGGTCAAAGAAGCTTAACAAAATCAAGTTTTACCTTTGAAACAGATCCAAACAACAGCCGTAGATTTGTCACAATGACTCACGACGAGGCGAGCAAGAACCACCCTGGAGGAGTTGTTGATATCAGAAGCTATGAAAAACTAGCCAGAATGTACGAGACACCGTCCATAACTGATGGTTACACGGCCCTCAAAACGTATTTGTCCAAGCTAAATCCTTCTTGTGATGCGCTTTATCAGTATCCAAAGCGAAATTGGCAACCAAACGACCACGTTTGGTTTGAAAACCGGCCGCTTGGTGTAAACAAGCTGGCAAACATGATGAAGGATATCAGTAGAGAAGCAAATTTGTCACGCACATACACAAATCACAGCGTAAGATCGACAGCTATTACTCTTTGGGCAGAAGCTGGCCTCACAGATCGTCAAATTATGGCTATTTCGGGACACCGAAATGAGTCAAGTTTGAGATCATACCATAGCCGACCAAGTTCAAACAGCCTCCAGCAGTGTAGCGACGTCCTCTCAAGTGCTTTAACAGAAAAACAGCCACAAACCGTCACCCAAAGCTTCAACAGTTCCACAAATTCAAGTCAGAGTAGCCACTTCCGAAGCGAAATAGGCAGTATTTTCTCGACTTGCAAGATAGACAAAGTTGAAATTCATTATAACCGTTGAAGTGTAAACAGCAAACTTTGAAGTTGAGCTTGAGACTTTTTACTTACAATTTCTGACTTTTTGCATGTAACTGAACTCTGAAATTCCCTTTTAATTAATTTTAGACTTGATCAGCGTTTCTTATGGTCTTTGTATTGACACTTTGCAAGAATGAAGTCGAATTTTTCATCGAAAGAAAACTATTTCTTCTCGGCCTCAAACTCGCCAGGTTTAGAAATGCATTGCGTATTTTGATTGGTCGATTTCTTGATTTGACGATGTTAAGAGAATTTGCCGTGCGATCGAACGTATTAAATTGCAATTTCTTACTTTAACTTCGTTATTATCTGCTGTTGTTATTTTATAAAAGCATTAGAAGATATTTTCCGTGTTTCTATTCACTGTTAGAAACACTTGGGATTGTTGGGAGAACACTCGAAAAGGTTTCAGCTCTCGCTTTCAGCTCGTGATTCAAAACCTTTTCTCGTGTTCTCCCAACAATCCCGCGTGTTTCTAACAGAGAATAGAAACACGGAAAATATCTTCTAATGCTTAAATTTAATATACAAAATCATAAAAGAGTACGTTATTCTTTTTTTTTACATTTAAAAAGGCATTTACAGCTCTTAATTATTACTACAGGGGCCGTGGATCCAGGGGAACTGATTTGGATGCGGACGCACTCTTACTTTTTGGACCACGTGTTTTTTTATATCTTTATAAACGTTTTTTTTTTTTTCTGCTGTTTATGGCCTCGTGTTGTATTTTTATCGAGAAAACGAGTTGCATACACAACATTTGTCTTCCAATATCAAGACTGTCCCATTTTCTATACTTAGGTTTTAGCTATGTATTACTGACAAAAGCACCCCCCTTMTAAAATGCTGGATCCTAGGGTTTGAGCTCTTCAGCCAAGAACATAACACAAACAATGTAAAMATTCTGGACCAATTCCTAAGTCGACGTCACTTCATTTGCATTTTTCAATTTTCAAATGTCTAGAAAGTTCACATTATGACAACCTTTCTGTGATATTTAAAAAACGAGTAGGAGTGTTTTATCGTGAGATATAAACACGAGGCCGAAAACACGAGAGTCTAAAACTGAGAACTTTTCTAGTGTTGGGCATACATCGAGTGTCTGTAAATCAGTTACAACACTGATGTTTTATGCATGAGTGTAACTAAGTGAATCACTTAGTTATAAAACTCATGTTTAATTAATCAGTGTTTATAACTTGAGTTATAGATCCTGTCATGTGACCAATAGTTGAATGCTCATTGGAAGCAATGTATAGTGAATGATTCATGAGTTTTAGAATTGACATTTAACGGTTCACTATGGTCACTGGGATCAATAGAGTACAAACACTAACACTGTGCAGCATAGATACCACTAAATTATTCTAAATTATGCTAATTGCATTGTTTTCTATTGTTTAATTAACACTATTTTGTAGTAAATAGTGTAAAGTATTCGGCACACATTTAATGTTTGTACTCTAATGATTTCTATTTAAGTAGATATTTAAATTTTCAATAGGCACTAACGAGAATAGCGTTTAGATCTCATTAAAGAACATATATAAGAGTTATCAGACGAATACATTGAATAATCGTCACCTACCTATTAATTGATCGTTTTCACGCATTCTCATTAGATTCAAAAGATAAAAGACCGGCGGCCATGTTGGAAGAATGAACAATAGATATTAATGAGAAATCGTTTGTTAAAGTTCCTCCAAGATGGCCGATGTGACGTAACTTGCAAACGAAGAATATACTTATACCTCGAGGACGAYTGATCTACCAGGGCAAACGCCCATCAGTAGTCCATGAGGCCGAAAAAAATTCCAGTATTTTTTTAGTGAAAACATATTAATAAGCGGTGATGTAMCGGAGCTAAAACCTTCACYAGCTATCCTGAACTGTACTTCATTTTTTAATCTGCCATAAATTTTCTTTGCTAATGGTGAATCGAACAATTGACCTCATTTGAAGTATAGAAAATCAGAAGCAAGAGTGTTAGATCATTAGTACTATTATACTAAAATAATATCTAGTATAGATTCGCAATCAGCAAATCAATTCAGTAGAGTTAGCCGAAGACAGCGACTAGAGAGATTTGGTCTATTGAGGTAACGTTTAAAAGAACGAAATGCATTACACTTTCTATCCTTTTATATGTCTATATATAATATATGCGCTGATTGCTAAGCTCTAATTCTTCTATTTGTGCCTCTTGGACAGTTAAGTCCAAGAGTAATATTACCTCTAAAACTCTGCTGCACAACTGAAAACTAATAGATGGTCATCGCGAGGAACTAAAATCCATCGAAGGAGCGTTGTTTGTCAGTTCTTATTCAATTTCGAATTATAATATGCAGAATAATAATGCCTTTTTTATAAGGCAAGTTTTGAGTTTAGTATGTGTTGTTCATCATAATACTCMAATACGCTCCAACTTACTGACTTATTATTTCTTTTCTTTTATTGTGTTGAAATGTAGATTTTGGTATATATAATCTAAGATGTTTTGCATTTTGGTCTGTTTGATCTGCCTGACGATTGCTCCAAGATACAGTGGTCAGTCATCATTAATACTCATTTAGTTAAATAATCTCGCGAGAGACAACAGCTTATATTACTCTTAAACATTGAAATACTTTAGTCTACTTGATTTTATTTTGAGATAGATAAATTAGTATTTGATCTTTTTTTACTTGACATTCTCATCTGATTCACATTAAATTTGGCAAATTTGAACTAKCGACGCAGCATTCAAATGATTGTTGCTTTATACTGGAGCCTAAAAGCTAAACCAAATCAGTCACCCACCTAGCTTGAAGTACTCAATAGCATTCATTAATTCAAACTCCCTTTTTTTCTTGGTTTTGCTTTGATCCCAAGGCACGGCTAGCTACCTTTCTAAATAACCCATAGAACAGTGATTAATATTTCTATTGATAAAAATGTTTCAACTCGTGTTTTATTCATGACCACATATGACTTGAAGAATTCATATCCTTAACGCTTTCTTATTGCTTTCTTTCTTTTTTTAATTTTTTTGAACTTGTCAGGAGCCTTTCCACCACCATCTACMAGMAACGATGCTTGCAGTGATCATGCTCTCATACCACCGCTAAGAAAAGAGTGTGCACCTGATAGCATCTCCAAACAAGCATGCCAGGCATTAAATTGCTGCTATATGACAAGGACATTGCCGAAAATTCCACGATGCTACAAAAAGGCGACGTCGACAACATCAATTAAACCAAACCAAGGTATTCTCTATGTTCTCTGCGCCTTTAGGTATTTTTATCCGAAATTGTGCTTAGAATTTGCATGCAGTGATTTTTCAATTATATTGATAAAACTGTTTCAACTCGTGTTTTATTCATGACCACATATGACTTGAAGAATTCATATCCTTAACGCTTTCTTATTGCTTTCTTTCTTTTTTTAATTTTTTTGAACTTGTCAGGAGCCTTTCCACCACCATCTACMAGMAACGATGCTTGCAGYGATCATGCTCTCATACCACCGCTAAGAAAAGAGTGTGCACCTGATAGCATCTCCAWRCAAGCATGCCAGGCATTAAATTGCTGCTATATGACAAGGACATTGCCGAAAATTCCACGATGCTACAAAAAGGCGACGTCGACAACATCAAYTAAACCAAACCAAGGTATTCTCTATGTTCTCTGCGCCTTTAGGTGTTTTTATCCGAAATTGTGCTTAGAATTTGCATGCAGTGATTTTTCAATTATATCGGAACTAAAAATCGAATATGGCTTTTTCCAGTTCAAAGCGAGCAACCGCTGCTTTAATTGACAGCAGTCTCTCATGCGCAGAGATCTTACCAAATCTCTATCTTGTGATAGAGCAGTTTATTGGTCAAACCAGGGGTGTTGTAGAGCAGTTCACTTTTGAGAATGCACGTTGAAGATCTTGTTAATTGGTGATCTAAGGGTTGGTGATGGACACTTTTGAATGCTAGGGAAGTGATGGACCTTAATGTGAGAACTCAAGGGATGKGTAGTAAAGTTTATTGCTGAGCGCATATGAGGGATAAACATGAACTGCACTTTTTAAACTCATGTAAGTCATTGAATGTGCTATGTGGGAGAAGATACTAGATGCTTATATGAACGTTATCTACCTGTATCATCAGGAGGCTCCTGTGATGTTTTCCCCCCACCAAGTCGAAGGAGGTGCAAAGATGATTCTTTACCAAAGCATATTTGTGAGAACGCTGGCTGCTGTTATGACGATAGCTTACCTGGTTTGCCAAAATGCTATTATAAAGCATAGTTTGCTTCTTCAATGATGTAAGTCAAGGAAGTTAAAGTCTTTTTGCAYAGCTTTATTATAATTTAATTTAATTTCAGGTTTTAAAATTTCTACGAAATTTTCCTCTTGTGCATGAAGCTGAAAGCAACGAAATAACACACTCCAAAATCTAGGAGACTCTCAAATTGAATCACAGTGTTAGTACTAGTGTAACCCTTTACGCCATGTACTCACACTGGCATTTTTAATTTTAAATATGGTAGATTTTTACTGTGTAAAAAATAGTAAAACTGTTATCATGTGTGTTCAATCCAAATGTGACGCATAATATTASCGACGAAAATGCAAAATTGATAACTAAATTGCAAGTTCAGTAAACACATATAGTATTGATATGTATACAARAATATTTATTGATTAGATTTGAAATTAGGTTATATAGATCAGTAGTAGTAATGATATTAAATTACTTCTTTCTTCAATTTTAGGTGCTGACTATAGTAGAATGGGAATTGCTCAACAAATGAAGAGACTGATTAATAGTTGTAGGAAAAAGGAAGCATCAAAAATAAAAAACTTGAAGCAAAAAAAATATTTTTAGCGTGAGGAACTTAATATTGACTTTATAAATGTCTATTGATACTCCCTAGAGGTTTCGTATACGGTAATTGATCGATCCCGAATMATTGTCTACCTCCCTAGTTACTACTGTCCAACGTCGGATAAGCGAAAATATTTCTTTTGATATAGAACATGGAAAAGATACCG